GATACGCTGCAAGCCTGTTGAACGAGGTGACCTTGCTCGGGTCCCAGGTGTGCGGTTCCTAAAATGGCTGCCATATACACGTCCACTGATAGTAGACGCGAAAGGTATTAAACTGATCAGAACAATACTAAACACACCACAAATAAGGTTTCTCTCCTGTATGGCTCCTCAAATGATGCTTAAGATTAGAAGCGGCTGAAAAACATTTCTCACACTCAGAACAAAAATATATTTTTTTAACATTCTCTCCACTTTGAACGAAATGACGTTTGGGAAGAGATTAACATAATTAAACACAGGCAGTAAAAATACAGTTTTAGCCATACCCTGTAACTTTAAAACTACACATCCCATCTTCATAATTACATATTTGGAATCAGCACACTTAAAACATAAACATAACCAAAAATCAACCAAATCCATCCAGGGGTTAAAAAGTTAGCTGGAGGTCCCTTTATGACCGACCGCAAGCACATTTTCCTGCCCAAAACAGTTCCATAGATTTGGGCTGTGAGGTCGGTCTATTTCAGGCTGAAAAAACGACTAAGTCCCATGGCGAATGGGACTTAGTCTCTGCAGCTGAAATAAGGCTGAAAAAAACGGCTGAAAAAAAGACTAAGTCCCATCGCCGAATGGGACTTAGTCTCTGCAGCTGAAATAAGGCTGAAAAAAACGGCTGAAAAAAAGACTAAGTCCCATCGCCGAATGGGACTTGGTCTCTGCAGCTGAAATAATTTCCCATTTACTGAACCAAGTGGGAAATAGCAAGGCAGGCACAAAGGGTTTGCACCAGGTCTGGGGACACAGGGGACACCGTCTTAAAGGGGCCGTGTCCCCAACAAGTCTGGGGACACGGCCTTAAAGGGGCAGTGTCCCAATCTTCCTGATGTCCCAAAAAAGGTGTTTAAGGGCCAGCACCAGTCACATAAAGAGTCCATAAGCCCCAATATGCCCACCGACAGTCTTAAAGGGCCATACACACCAAATAAAAGTGCATACATTTTCACAGTCTCCCAGGGGCCATAGTCATGCGGGAGGAGGCTGGCAAATAGGCTTCTCCACAACCCAGGGAAGCAGGGCAATTTGCCATTTAAAGGGCCGTTACAAATAGCAGTTTGTAACAAGGTGTCAATCCATATCTGCCAAGTGACCCTATGTAGGGGGACCAGTCACTATTCTGCTCTGTGTCAGTGTGTATCAGGGAACCTTAGGACAGGTGTCAATCCATATCTGCCAAGTGACCCTATGCAGGGGGAACAGTCCCTATTCTGCTCTGTGTCAGTGTGTATCAGGGATCCTTAGGACAGGTGTCAATCCATATCTGCCAAGTGACCCTATGTGGGGGGACCAGTCTCTATTCTGCTCTGTGTCCGTGTGCATCAGGGGCTCTGAGGACAGGTGTCAATCCATATGTCAAGGTGTCAATATGTCATATGTCAGGTGTCAATCCATATTGATTGTGATTTAGGAATGTTAGGTGATTTCTGCCTTTATGGATTAAAACCAGACTCTGTATCAACTGTGTAATTTTCCATGGGAGTTTTGCCATGGATCCCCCTCCGGCATGCCACAGTCCAGGTGTTAGTCCCCTTGAAACAACTTTTCCATCACTATTGTTGCCAGAAAGAGTCCCTGTGTGTTTTAAAATTCGCCTGCCCATTGAAGTCTATGGCGGTTCGCCCGGTTCGCCGGTTCGCGAACATTTGCGGAAGTTCGCGTTCGAATGTTAACATGCTCAAACATATTTTGTGTGCACTCAGGGTAATGCACATGTGCACTGAACCGGTCCTACCTATTGTGTGTGTTGAAAAGTCATTACAAATGTATTAAAATATATTAACTTTTATCTAATACAATATATTCTTATTTTGGGAAACAAACACAATATCTGCATTAAAAAGCCAATTGTCTTTACTGATCAATCAGCAGACAACCAGGTAAAATATATTGATAAAACTTCCTGTTGTTCTAAGTGAAACAATGCCTAACAAGAGGACACTATGGAAAAAATCATAGTTGTAAACGGATTAATAAAACTGTATTCTTTTGGAATCCTTAATAACTGAGATAGAACCCCAGTTTTCTCTTTTCTCCCCTAACTTACCTTATGTATGGGCCTCCTCCGTGAAACTAGTTGAAGGGGAGGAACATAACTGCTACCTCCAAGGGTTGGCATCATATTCAGTTGATACAATGTACAACAAGGAGCATGAAATGTTGGGAAAAGTGAGGGAACTTATCAGTCTGAAGGAGTGCATGACTAAAGGATCCTAGTAGTGCTATTTGCTCCTTTCAGAATTAAAAAAAACTAACATTGTTAGGATCTGTTTGGTAGCTTGGACCTTGCAGGACATCAGGGGAATTGTCTAGGAAGGCTTTACTTGCCTTACTTCAGGCCTCCCAGTCATATGCCTCCCTGCTTCAGGGCATGGGGTCAGACTCAGTGGTTGCTGTGGTGGTGGCCAGGAATCCAGTAGTACCAGAGCATGAACAGCGGGCCCAGTATTCGAAGAATCCTTGCCTTTCTCCAAGTCCAGTTTGGCACACTATGGGGCACAGAGGTGAGACATTTAGCCCTGGACTGAGTAAGACTGGTGCAAGTGTTACGGTGAGTGGGCTCCGAACGAGGAGCTCAGGATGGCACAGTTCTTGGATTGGTGTAGATTCCCAAGATGTAGCATACCAATATTGCATCGACATAGTCATGCACTCATGTATGCCCTCAACCTTCTCTTCCAGTGACACAAAATGTGAGATTAGTGTGTGATCCAGCATGCTCACACTAACACAGCTGCACACCTTCTTCCCCCAGGGGCAAGTACATGATATGAGGACATGGCTGTGCCTCAGCATAACTTCCTATTCCCATCAAGTAGAGACTGCAAAGGAGAGCCTGCCAGCATGTCTTCTATCCATTGTGGAAGTGGGGTGGCAGTCACATGGGATGTAAAAGTAGAGCACCATGCAGGATAGGAGGAGTAGCAGGCTGTGTCTTTGGAGTTGTTGCGTTCGGTGCTTCAGGACTCTGAGTATGGCAATTTGCTGATAGGGCAACAGCAGTCAGGAGTTAATTCAGCTATTGCTCACAGTCTTAGATAGATTGTTCCCTGTTGCTCACATCTAGGCTTTCAGTGTCAAATTTGGGGGTCTGGGGTTTCTGAAATTAGTGCTATGTCCCTGGGCCCAGTTTGAGAAGATTTCCGTTAGGGCTCCATGTGTTGCTGTAAGGTCAGGAGAAGATAACTATGGGCAAATGCATGGACCTTTATCTGTGGTCCCTTTCGACAGTCAGTTGATCGCCCACGGTGGGGGAAGGTGACAAGGGCAAGCAATTGCCAATACATTTGAGAATTGGTTGCAAGGTCTTGCAACATTTGTTAGTAGCATCACAGTTCTGCCTAAAAATGGAGGTGCTGCCTTACTTTGAGATTTAAGGCTCAACCTGTTACTGTTGGCCTTTCCAGCAGCCACCGGTGTGCCTGTGGGACACAAGAAAAGTCTGCTGGCTCTTTAATGAGAGGGAGGGATTGATTTAGATGAGGAAAAGCCTTCCCAAAGGAGGGCTCCACAGATGATGTTTCTAAAAGAAATTTTGTCCCAGACTGGCTCTGGTGAGTTGCAAAGAAAGTGCAGATAAGATTCTTGCAATCCTTGTTGGGGGCACCTCAGTTTTGTATGTTGTTATGCCTTTAAGGGGGGCCTTTTGTTATCTACTGTCCTTGGCAACGGTGGTCGTCAAACTGGTTATTCATTTTATCACTTAGTGGTTGAAAGTGGATCTGGGGCTTTCTTTCCTAGTATTTTTTTTTTTAAGGTTGCATGTTTTGGTAGCAAGAAGAGGTCTTTTTTAGCTGGAGTTGTTTACAGATGTGTCAGGGTCATTTGCCTTTGGTGCATATTTTTGAGAATCAGGTGGATATTTTTACTAGATGCTCTAAAACTGATCAAGCTGGATTAGGTAGGGTTGCACATGTTGGTAGGACAGTGCGAGTATGGTATCTGGTGGCCCTAATGTGGCAGTTTCTTTGGTTTTGGTCAGGGCTTTCTAGATCCTTTCTGGTTCATGCTAATAGGCCTGTTCTCACCCAGTCTCAGTTCTCTGGGGTATTTCATGCAGGCATTCGGGCGTTGGAGATGGATGCTTTAGGGTTTTCTCCTCATTCCTTTTGCACAGGCGCAGCTACATGAGGAAGTCTATTGGGTTTTTTGGATTTATCGTTGCAGCATTTGGTTGTTAGGATTTACAAAGATATTGGTTTTATGTGTGCCCACACCTTCTTTGAGCGTAATGCTTTTTCACACACACACACACACACACACACAGGCAATCACACACACACACAGGCAGACAATCACACACACAGGCAGGCAGTCACACACACAGACAGTCACACACACACACACACACACACAGACACAGTCAGACAATCACATATAGTTACCTCTGTTCCTTATGGAGGTAGGAGAAGTGCAACTCCTGGATTTTGGTTGTTGGGGGAAGCAGGGACTCCTTCCTGCTTCCCCTGCATCAGTTACATGGCACTATTAGCTCTCACTCCGCCCCCGCCGCACGGTAAGCCCCGCCGCACAGTAAGCTCCGCCCCTGTAGCACATTTTTTTTTTTTAAATCACGGCCGGCCATGTGTGAGCTGTGTTGGCCGCACGGCGCCTCCTGCTTCATGGCGCCCTGTGCGACTGCACACCTCACACACCCTAAGGCCGGCCCTGATCAGACAGAAGGGAAACTACAGACATCGTGGGCAATGGAGAATAAAAATGCTACTCCCAGATATTGAGATCACACAAGAAAAAAAAGATAATACATGTAAAAAAAAAAGGCAAATAGCAAGGAGGGGAGTTTAATCACTAAGATAGAGGGTGCATCAGGAAACAAAATGACAGGTCCACTCTAATTACCTGCTGGGTTTTTGTTCAGATAAACTGTGAATCGACCAAAGGACTTAAAGATGGACAGTTTCAAGAAGCAAGGCTAATCTTTTTTAGAAAAAAATCTTTAACATAAGTAGTCATATAGATTACAGAGTAAAAGATAATTGTCAATTTGAAAAAAAAACCATTATATATAATAAATAAAAAGTACATCATGGACAAAGGTAAAATAAGACTAACGTTAACAATTACATATGTATAATATATTTTGCATTTGAACTTAGAGTATCTAGAATATAAAGTAATTTATATAGACATTACTATGTCTATTGCTGAAATAAGATAGTTTTCAATATTAATATCTGTGTTCTGCTCTTATTATAAAAAAAAAGAAAATAGCAGAAATATTTAAAGAAAAAGAAAGTGAAGAAGAAGATGGAGGATATATCACTGCGCGTATCCCATCAAAATGATCAGTCATAAAAAATTTAGACCGTTGAATATAAATTCTCTACAGGGATTCCAGACTTTTGAAAATGTGTCCTGTGGATGTCTAACTTTAGATGTCAATTTGTCCATAACCACATTATCTTCCATTTTTGTAATAACATCTGTAATCTTGGGGGATCTATTTGAGCCAACCTGCTGCAATGAGCTGCTAATGTGATTAAATTGAAAAGTTTTTTATTATGTTTGGGAAGTCCCTCATTCGTGCGAGATAAAAGGAAGGTCCAAGTAGGCAAATCAATTGGTCTCTGTAAAACCCTACCTAATATGCTTATCTAAAAGTTATGTAGTTTTGGGCAATCCCACCACATGTGGTGTAGGTATGTACCTCTATGACATAGTTGTCAACAAAGATCAATCAGATTTTTACCTATTTTATGTAACCAGTCTGGGGATACATGTTATCTAAATAAAATGTTATATATTTGCTCCTGAGACAGGACACACACTGACATTTTTGCAGCTGCCTCCCAAATTTCCTCCCACTCTCCTCGCCCAAGAGTTTCACCCAAGTCTGATCCCCATTCATTAATGTATCTTAGTTTCCCCCGTATTTAGGGTTCTTCACTCAGATGCATATATAAGAATGGCATTAGGTCCTTTTTCTAAATTCCTTCATTACATAATAATTAAAAAGACGAAAGCGGTAAAATTGCAAGACTAATCTTTAGATACATTGAAAATGGGTATTTAATTATACGTATGAATTACAAAAATAATAAATAAATAATATACATAGAGGCTCTAACACATGTAATACATCATTTTAAGTAATATTACAAAATATTCACAATTTTACTTTAATGTAATTTAATAATTTGTGTCCTTAGTGAGTGATCTATAAATAATTTTGTACTTGCACCATTAATGTAACCATGTAACTCTTTTCAAAATGAAAATGTTGCTTCCCTTACTCATAAATATTTTTTTTCTTTAAACATCCAGTACACACCCTCAACTCTCTGGTACACACCATTGTACCATTGTATACAGAGGACAGGAAAGTGATAAAAAATGGTGCTGGTGATCAAGTAGTGCTGCTATGAACTGTGGAATCAACCACTAAATCCCACCAAATACAAACAAGGATAAAACAAAAGAAGGTTCAGCGCTCTACTAATACACAATACAGGTGCACAGTGTACTATAAGTTCAATAAACAAAGAAAATACATACACTTAAAATTGACTTTATCCACAGAGATCCCTATAAAACATAAAGCCTCACATAGGGCAATATAGTCTGTATGATATCCACACTGTATTAATATGTTTGTAACATCCTACTCACATGTTAATGAGCCTGTAAATAAAACTGGCTCAGGTAAAATGGAAGGAATTTTCCTCAGCTCCTGTGTTCTCCCCCAGTGCTCACATATACAATGGAATGATAAACAGGGGTTAAAGGCACAATTCAAACATTTATTATAAACATAGATAAAAATCCTTACATATAGGAACACTGCAAGCTGTACACAGGAAAAATTTCTTTAGAAAACACAACGCGTTTCGGCAAGCAGCCTTCTTCAGGTAAATGTTGATAGTTGTTAGGGGTCTGCTCTTTTATTTCCCAAATTTGCACCAAAAATCTTGTTTGATCCGCCCACTTTACTTGCGTCAAATCACTTCCGGTCCGGCGTGACGTTTACTTCTTGTTTCGGTGTATTGTACCATTGTGTAGCATGAACATTATTACCCCTATTAAATTATTATTTCTATTACTATAATTAATAATTTGGCTTTTTTTTTGTTACTCATGATATGGCTAATAAACTTATACCTGTAAAATGTCTACTTTGTAAAATTGTCAGAAAAACAACAACAACAAGTGAATGACAAATATTAAATTATTGTTGGCCTTTTACTCTGTATTCTGAGTTTGTTTTATATTTTACAAAATGACCTTGACTCAGATGTAGACACAGTGTAAATTTGAATTACATTTCTCTTTGTGAAGTAAGACTCTTATAAAGTATTCTCTGAGAATGTGTCAAAGCAACAATAAGATTATTGATATGAACTGTGCTGGAATAAAAGCAAATTATCAATTATTACTACAGTACATATAGCTATTTTAAAAACATAGGAGCTATCCCATGAATACCCTTCAGGTAGGCCTTGGACTTTAAAACATACAAGAAATTATCTTGGATAGGACACCATTTTAGGCTTTGTAAGGAGGAGAATGTCTTGAATCTCACAGTACCACTCTGGTGGTATTTTCCATAACTTCAGGAAACTAAATTTTCATCTCCCATTCAATTTAGGAGTCAATGCTTGGTGAAATCACAGGTAGGTTGAGTACTCAGCACATAGAATCAAGCATACACATCTATTCCCAGTGCCTACTCACTCTACCTCCTAATATAAACTTAAAAGCTGAATAAGTTACATGAATCAAAACAGAATAATTGAAAGTAACTCAAAACAGAGAAGGTAATTTACATAAAGATGTGTTTAACACCTTTTTGTTTTTTCGTTTAGACATTTTTGTTTGGGGAGATAGGTCTAGAGGGTTAATGACTTTGCATTATGACTGCTAGGGACAGCGTTAGAACACCCATGAAGGTGTTTGTTTAGGAGCATCAGGGACATTATCCAGGGATGCAGACTGACTGACTACAGATCAGTTCAATTGAAATTCAAGTTCCTGCTATCCTTCTGCCTTTTAGCTGTCCTGTAAGCTGTCTTTTTATCCAGCCCTAGTACAGCTATACTTTATGTCTAGGAGCTGAGCCTGTGAACTACTCTTTACCCTGCAGACATTTGAGCTCCAAACTCCCAAATTGGATACAAGGTAGCACTCGAAACTCCCAAACTGGAACCTCACGAATAGCTGCAGCAGACGAACAGGAAACGCACCGTGTTGAGGTTCAAGCAGTGGTCTGATTTATTGAGGGCTACCTGCCCGGTATTTATGCAGGTCTCCCACCTGGTGGACACTCCCCTAGGGGACCAGATGGAAGACTGTAACACAGACAAACATGTATCACATTCAGACACACAGAAGTTAAACATCCCCACAATGCATCCTTATTTTCCTCCCTCTATCCTGGAGATAATTGGGAAGTAATCCAATTATCTCCCAGGACAGAGGCAAAACTCCATTATACACTTGGAGACACAAAGACAGTAAAATACATTAAAACATACAGCGTTACATTTAATACATAAAATCCATACATGTCACATATCCCCAGATAGCTGGGATCTGAGCACACATAACTACCGAATCACGCTCAGATCCCATACACAGAGTTCAATTGCCATGGAGCCAAAGTCTTTAATTACACGAATAGGCATAGCTATCTGGGTTCACATATTCACATAGAAAAAGTCCCGATCAATCCAGCGTTCGTCTAAACAGCCACAAATAGAAGTAGGGAAGGCTGGAGGCTCAGCGGTGCCTGCACATAAAAGTGTCAGCTTTTAGTGCACTGATTCCGCTGGCTGTCCGGGGAGCTCCATAACACCACCAGCTAGCGGCCGCTAAGTGTAACCGCGGCCACCCAGTAACAGTCAATTAAGCTGCGTTTAACCGCAGCTACTGGGTGGTCAATTGATGGCACACGCTGGCTTCAGGGAGGTGAAATGAAGGCACACGCCAGCTTTCCGGTGGTCGCGCCTTCTGTATTTTGTTCGGTAGATAAAATCTACCGAGCGCCCTGGCAGAAAGGCATGAATAAGGTTTTCTTCAGGGAATATAAAGTATTTTAAAAGTCCAGTCCATAGTCTAAAGGGACAAGGGACCATTTAAATAAAAACCATTATTAAATACCAATTAAAAACCAATTAATTTAGCGTGTTGCATATTCTGTATCAACCAACAAGTTTACGAATATATCAACTCAGTATCCTTCATGTATGTATACAAATCTGTCATTTACATACATGCGCTCAGTTGTCTATGAGAAAGTGCCACTTTGAGTGTGAAACACATTCATTTCCCTGAATACAATCCACTGGCACTTTATCTTTATTTTTATTACCGTGATGTGACTTTTCTATGCATTAAAAGTAAAATGTTAAGCATTTAGAAGACAGCCATAACCTGCTTTAAATATGAACTGTTGTCCAACAAACTATTTCTTGGTTTTGCTATATTTATATGGCAAAACCAAGAAATTGTTTGTTGGACAATAGCTTGTGCCCCAAAACAAGTGTTTGGGGGCACAACCATACTGAAGATTATCATTTTAGATACTTTATGGAACTATTCAATGTTACCATATCACCCTAGCGCTATACCAATCTTATATCTAATCACACCAAAATACATGCTTTAGTGTTCTTTTATGGTTTGCAATGTACTATCCTTAATAGTGGCTTACGCAGGATAATGCTGGCAAGTCCTTTGTAACAGGACTTCACCAGCACCAAAGCCCTGTGGACTAAAACAGTGAAAATGGCGAAATCATTGCAAGGGAATATCATTACTGGAGAATACAGCCGTTCGCCTGGTTCAGACGAATCCCTTTGTCTGAGAATAGGTGGCCGCCATTTCGGGACTTTACACGTGTTCGCGGCCATCTTACGCACGAACGGCGGTGTTTGCCTGTGAACGCATGGAACTAAAAACGGATACGCAAACAGGCGAACGCCGCTGAGACCTCCAGGAGCTCGTAAGTTCGTGCTGAAACTACCGAACGACCGGCCGTTCGGTAGTTTTGTTTAAGCATGCATGGGGATTCAGGCGAACGGCAGGATTACTGTGGAGGGCAAGGGGTTCGTGGGGTTTTTATTCACGAACGGGGACCGACCGCAAGGCCAAAACTTGTGGAACTCTTTTCGGCTGAAAATCCTGTGCGGTCGGTCAAAACTTCAAAGACCCATAACTCCCGAACCCCACAACCGAATGACTTGAAATTTGAATATGTTATTCCCCTGAGTGGTAGCTATTAAGCGGTGCTGGACTTAAAGGTGTACCCCCTGTTTTTGGGGTACATCCAGAATGTGGGTAAATTTAGGTACGTTATAATTATGTTATATGTTTATCTGAGGGGAGGAGACGTGGGGGTGTTACCCTGTGTGTAATTGGTTATTTTCATCCTCCCCCTGGGAGTGTCCTGTGTGTACTTGTTCCTAATAAAAAGCAGGCTGGGTTTCCCAGACCTCAGATCTTCTTGACCCTGCAAAACGTAGCCTTGTCTCGTTCTTGGAAGGGGATTATTTGGGAATGTTATTCTGCTCCTGCTACAGCTGAACCTGACTTTTACTCTGGATATCGTGAATGGGATTATACCAGCTTACTTCTCCACAGCAGCTTGCAGGGAAAAAGGACGTCTCCAACGGCCGATACCCTCTCTCTACCAGGGTAGCCGTTACATTGGTGGCAGCGGTGGGATGGTCCTTTTATCCAACAAGCAAGCACTGAATGGAGTCACAGTATGCGAAGCTGAAAAGACCCACACTAAAGGATCTGTTGGAGAATCGTGGTAGGAGTGCCAGCAACAGACCACGGAGGGAGCTGATAGCTGACTTGCTGGAGCTGGACGAGATGGACAGGTCCATGGAGGTAACTGAACCCATGGCACCCATCAGTGAGGACGATGTGATTACTGCAATTGTGCAGCGGAGGTTAGCTTTGTATCCAGTCACGTCTACAGAACTAATAACCCAACTGTTCCGGGAAGCAAGGGAAGAAATACAAACCAAGAGGGAACAAGAAACGGAACTGGTAAGAGCCCGACAGCTCACTACCCAGACAGTTCCTACCCCGCTACCCACTACTACGGTAACAAAAATTCCCTTTACTGCATTTAAAGCCTTTGTAGAAAATGACGAGGAAATTGATGGATATTTGGCTGACTTTGAAAGACAGTGCTCACTACATCACATACCGCCAGAGCAATGGGTCACTATCCTGGCGGGAAAACTGTCAGGGAAAGCTAATGAGGCTTTCCGAGCACTCACTACAGAGGAAATCACGCAGTACCAAAAAGTAAAAGAGGCACTGCTCACCAGGTATGCGGTAACCCCAGAAGCCTACCGTCGTCGCTTTCGGGAGTCCAAAAAGAAAGCTGTGGACTCCCACATGGAATGGGCAAACCGACTACAGAGAGTAGCATCTCACTGGGTCCAAGGATGCAAAGCCCACACGGGTGAGGAGGTGTTACAGTTGTTCTTAATGGAACATTTCTTCCAAGATTTGGCGGCGGACATACAAGACTGGGTACGAGATCGGCGCCCCGCCAATTTAAAGGAGGCGGCTCGGCTGGCCGACGAATATGCCGAGACAAGGAAAGTAAGCCAGGGTACTACCCGACAAGCTCACAAAATAGAGCCACGTGCCCCAGCCGCTGTCTCACGCCCAGAATTTCGAGCTCCAGTCCCACCAGGACCACCCCGGCCTCAGGGGCCTACTAACTACCCCCGGGATTTGTCAAAGGTGACGTGCCATCACTGCAGCAACCTCGGACATATTGCCCGGTATTGTCCCCTAAGATCCAGTAACAACAACTGGAGGCGCACAACTCCCAGCACCGAGGCCCCTGCAGCACGACCCGCTGCGGCTCACTGTCTGGAAGCCGAAATGGGCCCTGAAGAATGTCTGGGGATTTTGTATGAAGCAGACCCCATACAAGCTGCTTCCCCAGACAATCGACAACATCACCGACAGGAGGTTAAGGTGAATGGACAAACAGCACAAGGCCTAAGAGACACCGGGGCTACCATCACTTTGATCCAAAAACACCTAGTGAAGCCGGAGGATGTGTCGACCCGCACTGTTGCTGTTCGGGTTGCAGGGGGCGCTGTTTTTCGCTTGCCCACCGCCCGAGTACACTTAGATTGGGGAGTTGGATCAGGAAAAACCACCGTCGGCATTATGGACAACTTGCCTGCCGAGGTCGTATTGGGAAATGACATTGGACCTTTAACTTCAGCATATTTGCCCACACCTGCTGCCGCCTGTCCCGTAACCACCCGTTCACAGTCCCGTGTCGCAGATGATCCTAATACAGGCCGGGAGACCCAGGTAAGCCAAGCACCCACATGTCACCCCACTACGATAGGCAGGCCCATAGCTTGGGACACCCCAGAGGAGTTTGGGAGGGAAACTAGAGAGGACCCCACCCTCCAAAAGTATCGAGAATTAGCTGACCATGGGGGGGACGGACGGGAAAGTTTTCTATGGGATGGGGACAGGTTATACAGACTGACTGAAGGCAGAAAGAGAGGCTGTGCCCCTTCGCAGAAGCGCCAACTGGTGGTACCCAAAAAGTACCGGTTGGAACTTCTCCGAATTGGCCACGACATTCCGTTGGCAGGACATCTAGGGGGTAACCGCACCACCTTCAGGATCACCCAGACCTTCTTTTGGCCGGGGATCTCGAAGGATGTGCGACGTTACTGCAGTACTTGTGACGTATGCCAACGGGTAGGGAAGAGAGGGGATCACCCTAAAGCTCGACTGCTACCTATGCCTGTGATCGAGGAACCATTTAGCAGGGTAGCAGTCGACCTAGTGGGACCTCTACCTAACCCCAGTCCCTCTGGTAAGAAATACATCCTTACCGTGGTGGACTATGCGACTCGCTACCCAGAAGCCGTCGCTCTGACGAATATCCAGGCTGACACTGTCGCCAGTGCTCTAGTCGGGATATTCACCCGAGTGGGATTCCCCCAGGAAATCCTGTCCGACAGAGGGACCCAGTTTACCGCAGACCTAACCCAACAGCTGTGGAAGGTCTGTGGTATTAAGTCCCTGCTTAGTTCCCCGTACCACCCACAGACTAACGGTCTCTGTGAACGCTTTAACGGTACCCTAAAGCAATTGCTGAGGACCTTTACAGCGGAATACAGAGACTGGGAACGATTCTTGCCGCACCTCCTGTTCGCTTATCGGGAGGTGCCGCAGGAATCCACAGGGTTCTCTCCCTTTGAACTGCTCTATGGCCGGAGAGTACGAGGACCTCTCGACCTCATCCGGGAGCACTGGGAGGGGGAGACAGAACACGACGGGGTACCCATCGTGCCATACGTATTAGAAATGCGGGACCGTATGGAACAGTTAGCCCGGATGGCACGGGACCACCTCCATGCGGCCCAAGGGCACCAGAAACGTTGGTACGATCAGGGCGCCCGCCAGAGAACCTTCCAAGTAGGCCAGAAGGTGCTGGTACTTAGACCTGTCAAAGGGAATAAGCTCCAGACCTCCTGGCAGGGCCCTTACAAAGTGGTAGCACAAGTCTGTGACACCACCTACGTAATCGCCAGCAACAAAGATGAAAGGATCCGGAAGTCCTTTCATGTAAATTTACTAAAGGAATATCAGGAAAGACCCGAGGATATAGCCGCCATATGCATACCCGCTGCCGAAGACCCTGACAGCTTACCCATACCCGACCTATTAGCTAACCCAGAACCTAAAACCCTCCTCAATACCGTACAGCTAGGGGAGCGGTTAACTCCCGCCGAAAAGGGACAGATCCGACAGCTGCTGACTGAGAAAGGGTTGACGTTTTCCCAAGAGCCCGGGTACACCCCCTTAGCAACCCACTATGTAGAGACCCCAGGACAAACCCCTCTCCGACAAACCCCCTATAGGATCCCTGAGGCAGTAAAAGAGGAGATGAGGAAGGAGATCCAAGAAATGTTAAGACTGGGGGTGATAGAGCCCTCGGACAGTCCGTGGGCCTCCCCGGTGGTTCTAGTTCCCAAGAAGGACGGAACCACTCGGTTCTGTGTCGATTATCGACGTCTCAATGACAGAACCGTGACAGACGCCTACCCCATGCCCCGAGTAGACGAGCTATTAGATCGCATTGCCAGGGGACGTTATCTGACCACCATCGATTTGTGCAAAGGATATTGGCAGATCCCCCTGGACAAGGAGGCTATCCCTAAGTCGGCCTTTGTCACCCCATTTGGCTTGTACCAGTTCAAAGTCATGCCATTTGGGATGAAAAACGCCCCGGCTACATTCCAGCGCTTAGTGGACCGCCTCCTTGATGGCTTCCAGGATTTCGCTTGCGCGTACCTGGATGACATTGCGATCTATAGCGAAACCTGGGGGGAGCATTTAAAGCATGTCGAAGCCGTACTGGATCAGATTCGAGCCGCAGGCTTGACTCTGAAACCAGAGAAGTGTAACTTCGGCATGGCCGAAGTCCAGTACCTGGGACACCGGGTGGGATGTGGGAAGC